AAGAAGACCAAAATTTGAGAAAATTCTTTGTTCAAGTCCATGAATGTCTCAGGATTCAGTCAGCATTTATATGAAAAGTATCCTGAAAGAAAAAGTCAGGTGATGAGGCAATACCTGTCTCAACCCACCGCCAATACTCCCTCCAGTCAAAAGCATGGTGACGAGAGATGTAACATCACCACCACCACCACCACCACTTCCAGTATTCCGAATGGCAGTACGCATAGAGTTTAGGATGCTCCCATATGTACCAGCATGTCCACGTTCAATTGCTTGAATGAAGCAGAAAGTCATAGCACCGGTAGACGTAATTTTTGAGAGAGCCTGCTTCCACAGAAGGAAATAAGTTTTATTGTGTTAGAGGGAAGGAATATGATGCAGAATGAGAAAATTCTGAAGTTAACATATTCCAATACTAAAAGATATTTATGCAATTATGTAACTACACTCTTAATATATTATTAAGATATCTGACTTATTTTAGGAAGTATAATCTATAGACTTATCGGAAGTATGAATTTACTATTTCCTATTTAGTTAAGGATCTTATTAATTATTTTATATTGTAGGTTATGCAACTAATTGGCCTATTTTCTTATTTGTTAGATTTTCTAGATTGCCTTAAAATTTTTATTTTGATTGTAACCTGGTATTTATAAATAAGGTACTCTAACTTAATTTATTAAGTAGATTATTCATATGATTACAAATATACATATTGAGCTATTTATCTAAAAAAAATATACATATTGAGCTACTAATTTGATTATTAAGTTCTGGGATCTCCTATCTTTATTCTTAGTAAATTTTCTCTAATTATTGATGTTAAAGTCTCTTTGTCCCACATCAAAATCATTCTGGCTTTAAAATGTAACAAACGTATCAACTCAGTTCGTCTGAAACTTACAGATGTATCTGCAGAGGTTTGATCATCATCACAACCACTGAAGGAAATAACTTCTCCACCACTAGTTCCTTTCCATACACCTGATCGTGGACGGTGGTCCTCCCACACATATTGTCCACTTCTATTTACATGAAAAGACATAAGGGCAATGAGAAGGTTTTGCACCAAATACATTACTCAGCCTGAGGAACATTCTGGAACTCAAAATTTATAACAAAATCGTGTAATAGTAACAATAGATCTGTTCATTCCATGAGGCAATGCATTTGCAGAAAGAATTTGTCAGCCATTCTGAGATCAGCCATAGTATTGGGATTAGAAATATCAACCCTTTGTAACACAAGATTTTCCATAGGGCTCTTTTTAAGAGAGTAAAGGGCCCATTTGAAATAGCTTTTGTGTACAGACCACATCAGAAATAAAGCTTGGAGATACTTGACCACGTATATTTGTTTGCCTTACAAACATCAACCACCTTTATAACATAAAATCTCACAAAAGCACATTTGAAACAGCTCAATATTATTGTCTATAAGCATATATACCACTTATCAGCTTTGAAGAAAAAGCTCAGATACATCTATACATATGCAGCTATGTTTATCATGTATTATTCACTACATAGGCATATAGTTCTCTGCCTCATAAACTCTATATAAGCAGCTAAAGAGTACAATCTTATGGACAATGTGACTACTCATAAACTGATCCACCAAGCAGTTGATAAAAGGAGTAATCATATGCTGAAAAAAGTTGACAGAATATCCAAAGAAAGATTATTTACTGGTTTCCTATTCAAAAAGTTAGCAGAATGTAATTTTCTTTTATTCAAACTGAATTTATATTTTATTTACTAACAAAATCGATCATTATTAAAAGCCTAAAACATACAAATGTTTCCAAAACAATACAAACAAGAATTGAAAAAGATTTTTGTTGTTATTGTTGAAATAGTTGAGATACAATTAACTATAGGTAACGTTGTCCAAATCTTTATGTAGCAATTAACCATGTTTGATAATAAGATTTAAAGTAGATAACTAGAGTATACAAAACTATAGATATATCTGAGATGGTAATAAGTCAATTGATTATAAGATGGAGAATGTTATAATGACATACTTATGGTTATGGACACAGGGAAAACTACTCTTACCAGCTTTTTTCACTAGCTTCCTTTTTGGTGTTGATTTTGGCTTATAATTTCATTAATGGTTGTCAAATACTTGTTTTCAGCAGAAAAACCACTAATAACTGATTTGCTCCAGTGAAAAAAAGAAAA